TTTTTTCCTGTCCTTCTGATTGACATCCTTTCTAAGCTCTTCTTACCTGACATCTGTCAGGATGCCCAATGCCACTCGCTGGTATCTATCCCGATGCCCCCTGACAGTAGCTACCATGGTCAGAAACGATCCTGTGCCCAGCCAGTCCAGAGCACCGTGGGCCCATCCGTGGTGCTGCGAGCTAACTGACAAGGTAATGGAGAAGGCTGTCGTGTTAGCATGCTGGCAGCTCCTCCCCTGCAAAATTAGCTCGGGTAATGATAATAATTACAGATGGAGTCTGAGTCCTGTCTCTGCTGCAATGGGTGAAATTGATTCCTGCCTGGTAGCTCTGTGTTGATGCAGGGAAAATGAATTGATGGTCTCGGTTCAGCTCCTAAGACATGAGTTTCTACAGCACAAGACTTCACCCATGAGGACACCTTCGTTGCAAGTCTCTGTGGTGGTGGCTTGGAAACGTGGTCATCAAGGCCTGGCTGCCCATTCATACTGACAGCTACTCCTCCCTAGAGAGGACTGGGCCTCAAAGTAGGGTACAAAGTGGAAGCGTGCTGTCTTTTCACCCTGACATAGCCTTTCTGCAACCTGTAACCAGGGATTTCTGAGGTGTATACATGGGAGGAATTATAAAGCTATTCCTGGCGGTCGTGGGCAACCAGAAACAGTACTACTGTGTCTGTGCCTGTGAACAGTGAATGAAACAACATGTTTAAAGGTCACTGTGGGATCTATTTCTGATTCCTTCTGTGGGCCCATCCCTGGCAGAAGAGCACAGAGCAGCATTCCTGGTTTCTAGACGCTGAGGGTGTGCTCTGCTCCATCTCCCCTCCAGATTTCCTCATTCTGAGTCCTTGGTCCTATGACTTCCGCTCCTCTCTCTCTCTTTCATTTGCTGCCCCTTGCTCTTCCAGTGCTAACCTCTCCCTTCTCTTTCTCTTCCCAGGAAAACCATTACTTTTGCAGCAAGCCCTTTGGCCAGTTCTGATAAAACCYAGTTAGGACAAGACCCATTACCAGAAAGCAGAAGGCTAATGGTGTGAGACACAACAGAAACCAGGCCAGAAGATAGTCACTGTTGTCATATGCCATAAATTGTTACAGAAGTACTGATTTCTTGGTGGCTAGGAAGCTCTGGCAGAAGASAGCAATCCCTGTTGCTGTTGCTCACACAGAAATGGCAAATGCTCTTGTGCAGCTGCAAAGTGGTTCACAAGATCATGGCACAACAGATTATGCTCTTTGTCCCCACTATATGCTGTGACATATTGCCATGCTTGATCCTGCTACAAGCTGAAAGACTAAAGGGCAGATATTAATAAACCAAAAGGCCAGTCACCAAAGGGGCTCAGACTAGTGGGAGGGGAAATATTTGCTCAGTTGTGTTTCTCCCCCTGCTAAAAAGTGCAATACGAGGCGTTATATGCTCAGCCAGGCCAGGAGAGGGTAAAGCATGGCTTACAAAGAGTGTGCATTCTGCAGTCACTTAAATGCAACATGAAAAATATTTTACCTACACACAACGGTGGACATGTAGACACACTGTACAATGAATGAGATTTATTTGGGTCTAAACTGTGTGGATGGCATGCCTCTACAGAGTTTGATTGTCTTGGTTTGTTATTTTCAGGAAACAAAGCACATATTGCTGCTGCATATAATGGTCTTAACCCACATTTGTTTTTTGTGGAGTATGAAAGAGTATCTGAGAGCAAAATTCAGGCATTAAACAATATACAGCCTCATAACCATAGCAAGACTATGGTTATGTACATACTACTGACGCAGTCATGTTTGCTTTTACTGCTTGAGATATCTAATAAAAGTTGTTTGGAAGATGCTGAGTTGGGACAGGAACTGGTATGGTTCTTTTCATCTCTACAGTGTTAGTGCAATTGCATACTCAACTTTAATATTTTATTTCTACATTCACGTCTAGGCAGACACACAGAACCACAGGGCAGTGCCAATAYCAGATGCTACAGAGGAAACTGTGAGAAATATCATAATGAAAAGGGATGGAATAAGCTGCCCAGTGATGAAAATTTCGTTCTAACCCCAAGCACTATGGGCTGGCTTATATAATAAAGCATGAAGACTTGTGTCCTTTCTACAGTTTTATCCAGTCTAATGCAACTGGGGATATTCTCATTATCCACATACAAATGTCTAATCCTTTTTTTCTAATGTCTAATCCTCTTTATTTATTTATTTATTTAATGCCGCTAAGCTTGAGATCTCAATAAAGCCTGCGGCAAGGAGTTAAGTTTAGGAGAATGCATAAATGTTCATGAGAAGGGATGACAATAAAATGGAACAAACACATGATATGTCCAACATCCAAGCTGCTACAAAGAAGCTTGATTTCAGGCTTTCACTGCTAGAGGGGACAGGCAGAAGCGGTAAATAAGTAGGTGGTTTTGCCTACCACTGTTCCCTCTGTACCTCTGCTATAACTTAGGACACCAGTAAGCTATGGGGAAGCTGAACACTAAGAAAGACAAGTGTACTGCTGACAACATGCCCAGATAAATCTAAACTTTGCATAAACTAACCTGTGAATGTTAGCTTTTATCTGCAGAAATGTAGCTATCTGGGAGCAGAGGTTTCTTCTGGATGACTTAAGCTTTGACATTAAGATTCCTTGAGTTTCAGTTATTTCCTCATGCCTGCTCCTCAAACTAAAATGTGGACCACTCCAGGAAACGTAATTAGGGTGGCTTGTTGTAGCCTGGCATCTACYAAGCCTAGACCCACCAGAGTGTCCAGAGCTTGCAAGCTGAAAAGAATCTTTGTCCTGTTTGGGCTGCCAAGGCAAGTTATGAAGATCATAAAACTGTATCAAGAAGGCAGTGTTCCTAAGCCTGATCTTTTATAAAAAGCAAACCTTTTATAATAGGATTTGGCCCGTTGCTTGGAGAACTAACTGTTGTACCAGAATTCCTGAAGGGAAGCAAGGGCGACTATCACCTCTCAGGCGTGTTAAGGTGTTGGTGTTAGGGCCAGGTCTTAATGGTGAATTGCTGACTGAGTAAATCTTTCCAAAAATCAGACAGAATCAGATTCAGGCCACTGAGTTTCGTATAATCTTAGATGACATACTTAACTGAAACCATTCTTAACACTTTGGGGAATTTGGAGATGGTAACAAAAGCCATCATTAAAGTCATTAAGATTCATGTGGAAAGATCTTTTCTCTGATACCTACAATAATGCATCATAGAAGATTATCAAGTCATATAAAATAGAAAAAAAAAGATAAATATTAAAATAGATTGATAATCAGACAGATGATAGACTGGCAAACAGGTAGATACTTAGACAGATGGTAGATGAAGAGCTGTGTACATTTATATAACCTTAAAGAATGGGGGCTTTCTTGCTGCTGTGGTTGAGTTCACTGAACACATCGAGGTTTCCTGCAATCTCCTAATGCCTCCATAAGCTGCCAAGAGGCATCTTTCCATCCCTCTTGTGCTTCTAAGAATCCCAGCTATTTCAAAGACCTCATCTGCCACAGGCTCTGCACATCCATCAAATGCCATACACTGAAATGTCTTAGTAGGGCTCTGAGCTGCTACAAATGTGTACACATGCCTAACTTCTAGTACACTAAATCCCTTGATTTCAATTCTGCTTAAAGATGAACTCACGACTAAATGTTTACAAGGTCTGGGGACAGGTAGAATGACAAACAGCTATTTTTTCAATACTCTTGCTATTTCTGGCTTACTTTTTCTGCATTTCTTGCTCTTTTAGTGACATTGTCTGAGCAGTAGCTAGGTAGGACTTTTGTATTTCTATGATATTTTTCCCCCATAGCTTGTAAAATCCCCGGTGATGTTGAATCTTCTGATTTTTTCAGGACTGGCTGACATCGAAAGATTTTTTTTGTCAGCCTTTTTGGCTGGAGTATCTGACTCAGTGTTTGATTTCCTAACAGACTAGATTAATCTATGAGTGCCCCAGGGTAAAACACACCTTTGCCAGCTGGTGGCTAGGATCAATTAGTAAAGTGTATTTACATTTTTATTTGTAGTACTATTATATTATTAGTAGTGCGTATATTGCCATGGTAAGGAACATCTTCCTAGCAAAAGTATAGCTTGGAGGAGGGAGCTGTAAATGGATATCTCAAATCCTGAGGACCCTGAAGAAATGTAGGTGCACATTAAGGCCTTGTGAATTCCTGAGCTCTTGGTGCTTACAGTGTCCATATAGTGATAAGTAATGGTAGAGGTTTAGGAGTATATCCTTTAGTGTCCCTAATTCATTCCCGACTGCCAAAACTTGCAAAGCCATCCTCTGATATTTTTTGAACTAGTCACAGTCTTTAAAACCCAGAAGCAGTTGTGCAGTGGAACAGTCCAAAAAAGAGAAGCTGAACCTGTTCTGTGGCTGTATGAGAGGAACTTCAGTCTTGGTAAGGTAGAGGGATTGGGTGCAGTCAGTGTTTCAGGCACCAGCGTCTGTGGGCTGCAGCACAGAGCMGTTTGGGTTAGCAGCCAAGCAGCCCATCTGGATTTCCCCCACCATATCCTGCATATGTCTGCAAATGCATCCCAGAGGGAGCTACCGAAGGTGGATGGTAAGAGATGTGGTAATCCTTTGGGGGTACAGGCTTAGCACTGCTCCTTCAAGACTGGCCAAGAACAACCTCCCATGAACTCCACCTGGCAGATGTGTCAGCTGATGAAGTTCCAGCTCAAATCTTCACAATAGCAAATGATACTGAGTGTCGTGATTGTATTCACCACACAAGTTTTCCCGGAATACAGCAGATGAGCACTCCAGTCTTCAGCAGGTTAACTTCCCCCTCCCAACATAGCSTAGACCTCTGTCATCCAGATTTAAATGTATAACTTTTAGACATCTGCAGCCAGGTGAGATGGATCCCTTGACCACGAGGTAGCAGCAATGCTAGGGTGAACACAGATTGCAGGAGCAGGCTGTGGGCATGGATTGAAGGAGCAGGCTGTGGGCACGGCAGTGGTGTGGCTTACCTGGGTAAGGGTGGATGCCATTAGCAAACACGGCTTCTGCGGCGGGCTGCCCATTAGCCTGCGGCGGGAGGCCAGTGAAACCATTCACCCCAATGGGAGATGGGATGCTAGGCACAGCTGGTGCAGTTATGCCAGGAGGCGTGCTTCCACCTGCAGGTGGGGAGAACACAAAACCAGGCCTGGTGAGCATTGGAAACAACAGCTAGCAGAAAGCTCCTGACACGACAGCTCTCACCACAACATGGAAGCCTTTTGCTAATGCAAGAAAGTAAGTCTCAAGATTACCCAAAACTAGCTCACAGAGAAAGGGATGGCTTGTACCATCACAGGCCAGACTTGCAATTGCTAATCTAGTTGGAAAGCACTTAAAATGAGAAAATCCTATAAAGCTGTCTTTAACAGAGTGAAGCTTTGGTTTGGTGGTCATTGTCGCTAGACTAAAGCTAATGTCCAGCAATGGAATAGAGCAGAAATAAGCCCCTTTCTCACCACATAAGGAATTTGCCTTATTTAATTGTTAAATAATGTGGCATTTCTTTCCTAGATACCATGAAAGTCAAACGCTCATCCCAGGTTTCCACAAGAGCTCCTCACAACTTCTCTTAGGAGATGTCAGCTTTGTGGGCTGTTTGCACATTCATGAATATGCYTCATGTATAACTTTGCTCTCAACTTCTTCAGCATCTTAGCAAGTTTGGCAGGTGTATTTGTAGTCTAAAGGCAGCCAGTGATAGATTTTTAGCTTTGCTGTTTGGCCCAAGCATCACAATTTAGTAGAATTTTAGTAGTAGAGACAAAATTTGGGCTAGACTCATTTCTTGCGTGGAATCACATCCCTCCCCAGGGAGGGATGGCTWYTTGGACSCATCTGAAGCAGGGAAGGGCTGCAACAGTGATGTTTCTCAGTAACCCTTACYACAGAATCACAGGATGGTTGAGGTTGGAAGGGACCTCTAGAGATTATCTAATCCAATCCCTTATTTTTGTATTTTGGACAGGACCCCTTACCCACTGGTAAAAATCATTATAAGTCCAAGGGRACAACTGAATTCTCTGCTATCTTATCACCATCTATTTTTTTTTGTAACGACTGGATGTTCTACTCTTCTAACAATGTATTCAGGATACTTTTGAGATTAAAAAAAAAAAAATTCAATAATTATCAAATAACTTTTCTCCCTTGCCAGTTTTAGGCATGAAGTTACGAATTTCCCTGTCTTATCTTTAGCAATATATTTTCTGTGTCACAGTAACTAACTGAAAGTACCACTTCTGCAAGAACCCCTTTTTTAACCACAGCAGTGTCCAAAGATTAAATCTGTGCTGCTGCTTTAAAAGAGCCAATACAGATTCATAATCTTTTTGTCTTAATGTATTCTTGTTTGAGTAGCCCAGAAAAAAAAGACAGTATTTCAACTCATTTCTGATACCCTGAACAGACAAGCTACTGCTGCCCCTTTTCTTATTCAAATGGTGTTGGCCTTTAAAAATGTCCTCTGTGGAGTTGTAGGGAGCCAGCGGTGGCAACCAGAGTCCAAAGGCAATGCTCTTAGCATATGCCATCAGCTTGCAAATCACAAAGGCTAGTTAAAATTTCAGTTGCTTTTCTGGATCTCTCCTCTATTTGCATAGACAATGTAAGTAATTTTTTCCTAAAATTGCAGCAAGGGACTTGTGCTTGCCGTTTTGTGAGTAAGGAAGTTTAGGCCTATTCATCAAAATTCTTTAGTTTTCTTCTTATAACCATCCCTCCCTGGAGATGTCAGATCTGTAGCTGGAGCAAAACTGGCACAATGCCACCACAGACAGCAAATGGCAGYGGTGCATGCCAGTTGCAGATTACATCCTCAGGTTGAGATATCTTGTTCCAGCTCTACCAGATGCGGATTTGCAGCATGGAGGGAGAGAGGAAGGCAGAAGAGGAAGAAGRAAGATCAAATTAACTTTCATTATTATCCCCACCTGTCCATTTAGCACTAAGTTGCATAGTATGTATAATCATATGAGGAGACTGCCACCTTCAAATGGTGCAGACCCACTTTTGTCCCATTATACCAATAATGGGAGAAATGCAAAACTTGCACTGAACTTTCACAAACATCAAATTAATATCCCTGCAATCACAGACAACTGTGGAAGCCAAATGCGAATCTTGATGGGGAACTTCCAAAATGCCACTAGACAGCATAAAGTTATCAAAGAATGATTAAGGTTGGAAGGGACCTTTGGAGATCATCTAGTCCAACCTCCATGCACAAGCAGTGACAGCAACAGCAAATTGCACAGAGTCGCATTGAGGCTGGTTTGGAATATCTCCAGAGAAGACTTCACAACCTCTYTGGGCAATCTACTCCAGTGCTCAGTCACCCTCACAGTCAAAGGGTTTTTCCTCAAATTCAGGTGAAACTTCCAGTACTTCAGTTTGTGGTCGTTGCCTCTCATGCTATGGCTGGCCACCACTGAAGGTGATCTGGCCCCCTCTTCTTGACATCTTCCCTTAAAGTATTTAAACACATGGATAAGATCTTCTCTTCGCCTTCTCTTCTTTAGGCTAAACAGATCCAGCTCTCTCAGCCACACAGGACAGATATTCAAGTTTCTCAATCATCTTTGTAATTCTACACGAGACTCCACATCCCTTTTGTACTGGGGAGCCCAGAACTGGACATAATACTCCAGATGTGGCCTCACCAGGGCTGGGCAGAGGGGGAGGATCTCCTCTTTTGATCTGCTGGCAACACCTGCTGTTCCTAATTCACTCCAGATATCAGTGGCCTTCTTGGCCACAAGGACACATTGCTGGCTCACAATCACCTTGTCCACCAGGATGCCCAGGTCCTTCTCTGCAGAGCTGCTCTCCAGAAGGTCAACCCTCAGCATGTACTGGTGCATAGGGTTATTCCTCCTTAGGTGCAGACCTCTCAACTTGTTTGAACTTCATGAGGTTCCTCTCCAACCTGCTCTCCAGCCTGTCAAGGTTCCTGTGAATGGCTGCACAACCCTCTTTTATCAGCCACGCCTATCAGTTTTGTGTCATCATCAAACTTGCCTTCATCCAGTTCACTAATGAATAAATTGAATTGAATATTGTCTGGAATTATCCTCTGTGACTATCTGCTGGCCTCCTTTGCATGCAGGCAAGCCAAAAGGCTACCTTAAACTAAACATCTAACTCATAGATGATTAAAGATAAAGTGATTTGAATCCTGTTTCYAGTCTGGTAGTTGTGTCTGGATCCAACATTCCTGAAGTTCCCATGTCCTGGGAATTCATCAGCATGAACTCATGGTCATGCCCTAAAGACCTACTCTCTTGGAGGTGGGAARTAGAGAAAACCAGCTGGATTAGAAATGCAGGTTTTGCCTCCTAGAACTTGCTTTGTAGACTCAAAGGGAGKTGAGGACACAAGAAGCTTGAAGATACCAGCACAAAGGCACTATGCTCAGCCAGCGCTTTCAGTGCCTCCAGGACTTCTGGGTTACCGGCATCCTTTTTCTAGCACAATTTTCCTTCTGCTTCGAAAAGATCAAAACAATTTTTTTTTCCAAATCTCCAAGTTCTTTTTCTAATGCCTTTTTTTCAGAGAACTTTGAAATGTTTCATTTTCATTCCAAGCGAGAACAAAGATATACTTCAATGACTGGAAATCCTGCTATGAAACAGAATGATCATTTTCCATTTGGCTTTCTGAATGCTAACAAAAGCCAGCAGGAGAATTCATGTAAAACTTCAAATATCTTCTGGTTACTCATGAATTGCTGCTAGTATTGTAGTCTTGCCTGCTCAGACATATGTGAAACACTTTTTATGCATCTTATCTCAAGCTTTTTGAGTGTTGCAGTAATACACAGACTCATTTCAAAGTCTAAACATTTCACCCAAGGAAAAAAAAAAACTGTGAATGGACATTTCAACAAGCCATTACAGAGATCTGTCACAAAGGAAGCTATCCATCCATAGGTGCATAGGTTCCATGACTGAAAATACATTGTAGGACGAGTGCAAGATCTGCTGCCCTGGGAGTTTGTGGAGTCTCCTTCTCTGGAGGTCTTCCAAACCCACCTGGATGCCGCCCTGTGCCACACGATCTAGGTGTCCCTGCTTGAGCAGGGGATTGGACTAGATGATATCTAGGGGTCTCTTTCAACCTCACCATTCTGTGATTCAGTGAAATAGGTTAAGGGGTCATTTAATCCAACATTTTATTTTCAGTAATGACCAGTCATGGGTGCTCTGAAAAACATGTGAAGACCACGAGACTTCCCTGCCCATACTCTGACAATGAGAGTTGGTCTCTGAAGGGCATGGGACACCTCAGAGGAGATGCGTAACTTGCACAGAAGAAGAGCTGAGCTGCTTTTCATGTGCTGCATATCTTGGCAGATACACAATTTGGTTGATGCATTGATATTTACACACCTATGTCAGAGAACTCATTCATTCTCAAGAATTATCTATATGCAAAACAGGTTATGTTCTTTTGTGGTGAGGCCATCACAAACCACAGCCTGGATTCAAGCTTTTCAGGCCCTGAGAGCATTTGAATTCCAGGCATTCTTTGTTTGACATTCTCTCTGCTCCCACCAACACAAATCTAGCTAATGCAAATATGATAATCTTTCCAGCAGAGGGTTTATAGGGTGCACATATAATTAAGCCACTTTTCTATTTGGATTTGCAGTAGCTCCATCAACTTGTTGTTTATATATTTAATGTTGTGTAAACATACATTTTGAAATGTATGGTGTAAGATTTTTGAATCAAGTGCTTTTCCCTGGCTATCCATAAGCTTCTAGGGAACAAGATATGGTGTTCTTTCTTTCTTCCTTTCTTTCCTTCCTTCCTTTGTATCTTCCTTTCATTTAWTTTTTTTTTCTCCATTGTTCTCTAGTATAATCAAAGGGAAAAATAGTTTTCAGGTCCCATAGGCACTGACACTCTTTCCAATTACAGGTTGCAAAGAGGTGCAACCCTCTGTGTGAATAGGGGTATCTTCTGTGGCTGACAGAGGTTAGCAGAGTTTGATGCTTTAGGAATGGTCCTAAGTCTCCACTGCTGAGGTGCCATATCCTCTTCCCATGCAGTGTCTCTCAGCCACAAGGTATCTTTCCTTGTTACTCTATGAACAGGTACTTTCCTGCTCGGGCACAACTTGCTTCTCCTGTCCTTTATTCCAACCCTTTCATGAGCTGGTCCTTCCTACAGGTTCACACAAGGGCATTGCTATCCCAAGCCAAACACAGTTCCATCCTAGTGCAGCTCACTAGGGATAATGGGTGAGTGGTGGAGCTCCTATCAGTTAGAAACTTGCAAGCAATGGAAGTCCAGGCTCTGGGTGAGGTGGGGATAGAGCTGGCCACAGATGTGGAGCCAATGTCCAACAATGTCCCAGCTCATCCCGCCAGCGGAGATGCCAGACTGGGCCCGCTCACGTGGCCACAGAGCCAGCAGCCCCAGGGCTTGACACGCTGAGAGCTCCTTGTTGGGTGCATCCTGAGCCTCCCCACACCCTGCATCCCGGCATGGGGCCTTACCTGAGGTTGGTGTCATGGGGGCGGCCGCCAGGCCGTTCATGTTCAGAGCCGCCATCTGCTGCATCTGGGCTGCGGCAAAGGCTGCCATGGGGTTCAGGTAGCCACCCTGCGCCACTGACGCCATGATCGCGGCCTGCTGCTGCATCAGCTGGAACAAAGAGAGCAGGGAAAAAATATCACGCGGTCACCAGCAGGGCCGCCCCGCGGGACATCCCTCCGCTTTGAAGAGGTCACCCTGCCATGCCTGTTGTTCCCCTGACCTTCCCTCTCTCCATGGGAGTAGGGCTGAGGTCCTGATCTAAGGCAAATGCCAGGTTTTCTTATGCCCTTGGGAGGCCTTCCACGGGCCTTCAGCAAAACCAGGACCAAAGCTGGCAGGGTCCAACRTAACCCAAGCCCAGCACCTATCTCCAGCACAACCAAGCAGAGGGACTATCTGAAGAGCTAGACAAGAGAAGGGGGAAAAGCTCTTTATTTTTTATCTGGAATGATTTTCTCAACCTTGGCATGTTTTCCAGAAGGACATCCAAGTGATACCTTTCCCCTGCTTTGCTCTGTCTGAAAAAACAGAGGTTAGGAATCAGGTTACTGTTTTCAGACATTTTTGGGTAAGGATTTCAGAGCAGAAAGGTGTCAAATGGTTTTGTACACTAGAAACGTTTCTTACATTGAAACCAGACTTTGTTATCATTATTTTACACTCTGAACCTAGCATAAAGGTAGTCCAGTTAATGTGCRCACAAAGGCTGCAGTGAGGTTTTAAAATGTTCCTAGTGTGAAGAAGGACTTGGATTGAGAGCTGGTGCTTGTTCCCCCTTCCCTGCATGTGTGAGCTAGGTGAGGTGCATTAGGAGGAGGCACTGAAGGCTTAGAAAAAGCTTGTCAAAAACAGGAAGAGCAAAGAGAAATTTCACTCTGTTCATCCCCCAGTCCCTGGCAGAGTTTGACTTAAGGATAATGGCAGAGAAGGAAACAATTGGTTCTTACAGTCATTTTAGACATGACTCATGGCTTTGCTCTCTCCAGAACAGCCAGTGTCTTTATTTTGTGCATTCTGTGATTTCACTGCCTCTCCCATCAGGAAATAACCACCTGATGCTGTTATTTCAGCACACGGGACATACTACTCATCATTAAACAGACTCTAGAGTCCTTGCAAGGACTAGTTTCTTCCGTGCTGGTCAGTTTAATATTGAAATATTAGCCATTMCTAAACATATATACTAAAACAAAAYAAAAAACCCCAAACCTTGAAATTGCCACACTCATTCAATTACTGACAATTTCCTCATCACCATCTAGGTACATGGAAAAGCAAAGTGTGCTTTGCTATTGACCTGCTCTAAAACCTTGAGCAATTTTAGCAACTTGCCTTGGCTTCCCCAGCAACAAAATGAGGCAGAGGAAACCTGCCTCCCTCATAGGAGTCCCTTCAGATCTGTGCATGAAAAGTCCTATACTGGAGTTGAGTAGTTTTATTTTCTGTAACCTAATGCAGATTGGTGGCAAGGTGGTGGCTCCCCCTTTGATTGTTAATTACCCTTTTTTATTATACCCTGCATAAGACACTTTCACATTTTAATTAGTGATATCCTGTTCTTTGTAATTACTGMTGGAGTGATTAGACAATCCTTTCTATTATAGCACAATGCTGATTCCCCTTTAAGGAGTACATGTGTTTCTAGGCATCACTGGAGTTTATTCTCCAGAAGAGGCACTGCGCAGGTGATTTTATTAAGTATGCCAATGAGGGAAAGGGAATTTGTCCATCTTTAACATGGGACTGACTCCAGCGCTCTGCATTTACCGACCCATATCTCACTTCCTGTGCTGGGTATTTCACTTCAAGAAAGGTGAGGATATAAGTCAATGGCTGGTTGCGTAAATGATGACTGTTTTCAGTACCTATGGGTTCTGCCTAGTATAGCTGATTCTCATCTGGCTTTTGCTGACTTTTCTCTATTTTTCCAAAGTTAACCAGAGCTGCATGTTGAAGCCCAATCCCAAAACTTGGAATAATTAACATACATCTGGTTACATGTGGTCAGCTTGCTCAGCAGATAACAGCCTACTCTTCATATCAGACACTTTCCTTAGAGCTTCTAGGCCATTTTGGCATTACTCACTGTCAGATTCAGTTAACTAAACACGGACAGGGCTTTATATAACCTGTTATGGTTGATGTGATACAGGCAGTGGAGTCTAAACCAAGATACATATTTCCCCCTCGTTTATCAAATTGCCTTTGGGCAGATGAACTGCAGCTTTGTTTTTGCCTACTGACTGCATGTGGAGCCCAAGGTGATCACTTCAGCTGCAGATACCAACTCAGTCAGATGAAATCCTTCCCATACCTTGCTTGGCCTTGAGTAGGTATTTTTGGACCTTAGTTCCCAATCATTTTAAAGAAAAGTACGAATCCTACTTTGGCTTGTATTTCACTTGTACTGCAAAAAGAAACAGGCCCAAGATGGGCTCTATCTATAAACCTGGCTGAGATAACGTGTTGCCACCGGTAGTACAAATGATTGTACTGCTCCAAAGACAATCTCCATTTTGCACTCAACAGAGCTAAGCAATCACTTGTGACATTATTTACGGCTTATGCAGCTTCTTTTCCTGCCTGTGAATGTATGTAAGCTGTTCAGAGTTAACTCCACAGTGGAAGGATTGTCTAATCCTGGTTTGCTAAGTAACCTGAATGTTTGGCTTCTTTCACATTCACAGGGTTTACAAACTTGCAAGAAGAAGCAAGTTTGGAGCATTTGCCTTGGCAATATGCATGCCATTTCTTGCAGTTTAAGGTTATTTAAGCATTTTTGTTACATATCGTCAGGGAGAAAGAAGAAGGCATTTTCTCTCTCCTTATGAAAACAAGAAAACTATCCCTAATCCACTGATTGCTGTCTAAAGCCTGGTGGGTTTCAGTGAAACATTTGTTCAAAAATGCTCATAATCCCACAGAAAGTGAAGTAGGAGCTTGAGAAGCAAAAAACAAAAACAAACAAACAAACAAAAAAGAATCTATCATAATGCTAAGGTAGTAAAACCAAAGTAATAATTAAGCTCCTAACCAATGATTTGGGAAGCTAGGTTTGCTTGCTTCTTGCTTGCAGGATGTGGCACCCTCATTTCTGTTATGCTCAGCATCTTGGGGATACTTGAGCTGCTCCGGAGAGCTCAAGAGCAGGCAGAGCAACAGTCCTCTCACCCTTCTGCAGTCCTGTTTCTCATTCATGCCTTGGAGACTGCAGCCTTTCTCTCCCTCATTTGCGGGGCAAACATGTTGATGGTTTGCGCTCTGCTCAGAGGTTAGAGTTAAGGGGGAAGAGGAGGAAGGGCCTTCTCTGCTCAGTGACTGAAGGTCGTAACATGGCCACGTACAACCACATCATGGGTGAGAAAACCAGAATTCGGTCACCTTGAAAGAAGCGAACACGACAGACCTACATCATTTCCCCCAGTGTGGCTCCAGGGAGATTTATGAAAGAAGGGCAAGTCCTGCAAGGGTCACTGGTCTCCCTTATAAAACCTCCAGGGCATTCCCAAGTGTACTCAAGTAAAAGTCACCCCACAGTCCCAAGCTCCCCTCCGAAGACAAATGTCCCATCCCGTCTCCTTTCATTCTGAAAGAGGCCCCAGTGTATGATCCCAGTTAATAAAGCTGTAGAAAGCGAGGCAGTGACCCCACCAGAGGCAAATCAATAGCAGCAGGACTCCTGGGTATTGTGTGCTTTAAAATATGCCATTTGAAATGCAGATTTTCCCTGCCTGGGCTGGGGCCTCAGAGCACTAATCAGAAAGGCATCAGCCTTATTATCTCAGACTGTTCCAAGGGGATGGAGAGGAGCTTTTCCCTTCCTCATTTTTCTCCTTTGACTTCTGTTACTTCCTTGGCATGATCTTTGCTTCATCATTTAGATTTTTTTCCTACTTGATCTTATAGATCCATTCCCTCTTTTCTCTAACTCTGCTATTTATTGCTCAAATATCTACCATCTGCAAACACCAAGAGATGCTACCAAGTCCATGAGTGCCCATGCACAGCACCTCTAGTGCTACAATCCTGCAATCCCCATCACAAGACTTAGAAATTAATGGGCAGCTTGCTCACTSTCCACTGGGTGGGTGATCTAAGGCACAGGAAGGGGTGGTGGGTGAGGAATGGCCCACAGCGAAGAGTGGAAGACAAATCTCATCCACCTTCTGCTGCCTCAAGTTGCAGTGGCTAAATTTCAGTCAGTCTGGAGGTCCAATCTGTCATCAACCTGTGAGGTCCTCTCTCCTGTTGCAGCATGGGAGATTAAGACACGCAGAGACAAAAAACTGGGCAGGATGCAGTCTTGCAGCACGGCTACAGAAGAGTAAGGGCTGAAGGCTGCAGGTCCCTCCTTGCACTGCTTCTGCACCAGGACACATGCGTGCCAGGTACTGCCGAGACCCAGCTCTGGAACAGCCCTGGCAGAGTGTTAACCGAGCGGTGCCTAAATGCACGGCTGGCCACCCATCGTCCTCCCCAGCTGGCTCCCTGCACGGCTGCTGTCAGTCCAGCGTTGGCTTGAGGACACAGAGGGGACATGGGGACAAGGGTGGCATCAGGGAGCTGCGAGATTCCAGTGTCCTGCAACCGCACGCGGCCAAGGGAAATACTACCCTGATCCTTGGTGTGTACTGAGATGAAATGAGCTACTCAAGGCCAAGAACGCTTGCTAGAAATAGGACAAGGTTGCCCCAGTCACCCTTCCTCAGCCTCCCAAAGATACTCATGTGAAACCAAAGAAGGGGAACAGGAGAGGGAAGGATTATTTTTAATGGGCTTATTTTGAAATAGCATGATCATTGTCCTTGGTGGAAGCTTACTSTGAACGATCTGACGACCTTCTCTTTTTTTTTCCCCCACTGTTATTTTCTGTCACTGTCTCTGACACTTTGTTGACTTTTTATATTCATTCAGTAATAATAATAAAGTAATAAGAGCATCTTATGCTTCCTAACTCTAATGCTCTATACAAACACTTAACTAATTAATCCTCATGGTATCCTAGTGATAGAAAGAGGTGAGTAACACAATCAATCAGGCAATAAAAGGACTCATATTTTGTAAAATCACAGAATTGATACATTCATACCTACTTTACCCAAATGGCCTTTGAGAAATAAAAACAAAAAACCTCAAGTTTTCAAACAGATAAAAGATATTCTGAAAAAATACAGATGGGTCCTTCATACATTTTAAAATGTCTTCTTAGAAACTGAAATTTCTACTTTGAAAATATAATTTAAATTTAATTAAGACAAAAAAATAGATGTGCAGCACATGGTTTCATGTGCCTTAGCATCTTTTTGCAAACTGATATACAATTGTTTGGATTTCAAATTTCTTGAAAATTCTGAAAGAAAACAAAATCTGAAAGAAAACCCAACCCAGATCTATGCGTTCAGTGTTTCTGAATCAGCAATGTGTTAATCATAAATAGACTATTTGCCCTACTACAAAGTATTGTGGCTTCAAAATACCTTCCTCTTCAGAAGGAGTCAGAAAAACACATCTAAGCAACCGTTACTATATCAACTGGTAATTAGTATCAAATGCTGTCTCATTTTGGTCATTTAAATATAAGAACAATTATATATATTATATAGCTGCTAAGAAGTAAATTTTCCCTGCATTCATATGGATTCATAGGAAATTCATTCATTCATAGGAAAAACATCCTTCCAAAATATTTTCACAGCATGTACTGAATAAATATTGGAAGAAAAGATTCTTCCCTTCAGCACCATCTCAGACCATTTAAAAGAAAAATCCTTTCATCTCCACGGGAGCTGGGGCAGAGAGGTGGAGGGGGCAGCCCAGCGTTTGTGCTCAACACTGTAGAGTCACTGCAGCTCTGACACCCCAAGGTGACCACTTCTGATGACTACTGAGATCTGTGCAGCGCTAGATGTGCACAGACTATTCCTGTCCGCAGTTCAGGAGCTGCAGCCATTTGCACAAGTCTTTCTTTCAGTGCTAGGGGAGCTGGGATTTACTGAAGGGGAAGGACTTGCTCGAGGCCGAAGAGCAAATGTTACAGTTGCCCATGCTGCCCTGTCCCCATCTGTCCGCTCTTACTCACTAAATCTATGCTTGTCCCCTGCTGCAGAAATGCAATCAGACCCATGACTGGAATTTGGCCAGGAGACCGTGGCTAACACTCCCACCCCATTTTTTATGCAAACTTGATTTATGACTTTGATCTTATTTTAAATAATTTAAAAATTAAATAATTTATACAATATCTGTCACTTTCCAAGGATCCTTCCTTTGTTCTTGCTTTGCTCTTCTGCATTTTTCCATCTTCCCAACCCTTTCTGGTCTGCACACATTTTCTTTTCTGCATTGGAGGGCAGCTGTGACATGAGACAGCTGCTAGGTACCTGCATTTCCTTAAGAAGAGGACTGTAGGAGCTTTTGACACCACAGCTTTTTTTTGTTTGTTTGGGATAGGATTTTACTATCACTATTAGTAGTCTGATTTGAGTTTTCTTGCTTGCTATTTTGGGCTTGTCACCCCATTGCTTATCAAGGCCAAACAAATCATTCAGCTACTAACATCTGCCTCTTCCTCCACAGATTGGGTTCAAACCTCAAGCTACCTTTAACGGAGCCTGTGGAAACAGCTCCTGAGACCCAGCAAACCTGGATGGACACTGACCTGATTGCAAAACCAGCTGCTGCCCTAGCTTAGCGTGAACAGTAGCTTAGTGTGAACTAAAATAAACAATTGCCTCATAATAGGAGAAGCTAAATGAGTGTGAGAAGTTATTGTTGAAAACAAACTGAAGCGAAAGAATCCTCTCTTTAGGGGATTCTGTAGTGAGCTCAAAATGAACTTGTCTTGGATTTTTTTATGCAAAGGAGGTGAGTGAGATCTCACATGACTTTCTGTATCACTGAGCCTCGGGCAAGTGCTTCCTTGTTTGTTTGCAGGGGCACATGAGGAGGGGAGGCAAAAAACAGGTGCAGAGCAGAACACACTTTACCTCCTGATATTTTTGCCTCCGTGGCCATATGGTTGCTTAACCCGAGGACTAGTTGTTTAGCCTATGCGAGGCCATCGCGGCTGTCAAGGTTAAGGTTGGTTAAGCCGAGGTAGTGAGCAGCAAACCGAGGCATTGCCACTTGCTGAACTGCAGAGGAAGCAACTTACAGGGGAACTGGGACTTATATTGGTCCTGGTAGCAACACTAATGACTGCTGGTCAAACACCAATGTGCTGAGACCCTCCCAGGCTCTCCCTAGTGGTGCTGCTTTCATGTAGCTGAAGGGACGTGAGTGACAAGCCTGCAGCTGACCTCTTGAGCAGCTTCCCCACATGGGTTTCTGATGCACGGGCCACCTTGATGTGTGAAAACCTCGTTGTGGGTAACTACCTCAGCCCCAGTGATGTGCGTGTGTGCTGGTACTGCCCCTCTGGGGAGATTCATCATGCACCCGCTGCCYGGGGGGCTGTGACAGCCCCTCCATGGGGACAGACCCTAGAAACTCCTCATTAACTAGCTCTTGTGGGGCTGCTTGGGGATTCTTCTATAGAGATATTACTCAAGCTTGAACTGCAATGGGAGAGCTGGGAGGACAGCTGAGTRCAAACCAGAGGGCCCAGGATCTCATACCAGTCCTGGCCTCACTGCTAAGCACCAAGAGAGTTCTTAAATTTTTGTGGACAGCTGGTCTGTGCATAAAACACCAAGGAAGGCTGCACAAGAGACACATCCCTAAAGGAGACTGGGAAACAGTCTTGGTCATCATCTTCATTTTCAAGTGGAGAAATGAGGTCGGGGTCGAATGATTCGCCCAACGTAACACGAGTTGCTGATGGCAGTGGCCTCAGCGGTCAGCGCTGTCCTGCTCTTGCATTTTCACCATTTTATCTTCCCTCCTCTTGACCTGCCTTAGCTCTCAAACTTCAGCTGCAAGTTTGGGCTGAATAAAAATGCCCCTCCTATTCCTCCATCCTCTATCGATCCCGCCCTCTCCTGCTGCCATTCCCGAGGTGCCAATCACCCCTGGTATCTACGAGCTGGCAGTCGAGGTGTATTAATCGGGACCGAGGGAATGTGGCACAGCCTCAGCACTGCCCTCCTCTCCTTTTGTGCGAGACGCTGAGATGAAGCAGATAGGGAGAGACACAGATAGTGAGGCTGATTGAGAGACAGGATCTGAGCAAGCTCTGGGTGCACAGGCGCCACACGGAAATGTGATCCCATCATTTTGACAGCTCTGAAGTCCCCAGGGTAATTGGTGTCACCAGCTTGTCATATCCAATGGGTCAAGATCTAAAACTTATTCTTTCCCCCTTATTAGCATATTCACCAGGGATTAAAAAAAAGGAAGATGGATCCAATTCTGCCTTCACAGAAATCTTTAGGAAAAATATTCACTGGATTCAAGGGGAGCAGAAGCAGACCCAAGAACTGTTTTTGCTTTCTCCAGATATAGATACTCATTCAAGCATCTATCTCAAAATGGCCAGTATTATTTTGGGAGAAAATAATGAAGAGAACTTTTGTGGTTAAAAGGGCAGAATTTATCCTCCCTTATATCAGTATAAACCAAGGCTAACTCCTTTATCGTGGCAATTAGAAGAAGTAATTGAGATTAAAAATAATGTAACCAAGAGGAGCATTTGTCCAGAGCATCAGGACAGCCATCTTTACCACCTCTCCACCTGCCTAAGAGATGCCTGTAGCAGAATGCTACAGCTGCCTCTTCTGCCTGACAAGCTCCGCAGCTGCTCCTCTCCAGCTGCCCATGGGTTGTCCTCCTGTTCAGTCCCCTGGTACACAGGGCACAGATGTTGCCGTCCCTGCCAGGCCGCTGGCCACTGGCCTGCGCTCGGTTATGTCTCGTTTACCCTTGATGATGCTGCAGTTTTCCCCGGTCAGGAGGGCAGTAAAACACAACTAAGCTGTGAAGGAGAGAGTTCTGTTGTGGGAGGAAAGGAGCAGGGGCTTCGCCCTCATTGACAGSGAATAAAGAAGAACAGAGCAAAATAGAAAGAAAAAGTAGAATTTGTCTGATGGGCAGAGTTTAAAAAAAGCCCAGAATAGCACCAGGGAGTGCAGCTAGGACAATTTCTGGAGCTCCTACAGAGCATCCTTGGGACTCCCCAAGGCCCATACAAAGGGCTGATGGGATTGTATCAGCAGTTTACTTATGCAGATGATTTTTGGTGAAGGATAGTTTTGCGGAGCCATGACTTTGTGATGCATGTGTGTGCCTAAAAGTGCTCGTCTCAGTGACCACACCAAAGGTATCCACAGCCATGTCTGTGRAAGTGTGAGTCTGACCAAATACAGCAGGGAGCCATCACTCCCACTCAGTGCAATCTTGGTGGCTTGGTCACTGAGGAAGAAAAGAAGGCTGGGTGCCTGCACAAGGGCTGGGGGGCACTGACACAGAACTACAGGGAACTGAATTCAGMATCAAATGTTTTGCAAAACTTTGAAGGCTAGTGGTGTCTGGATTGAACAGCAATGAAAATGTCCTGCATGGATACACACTCAGTCATAGTTTGGTTACTACTAGAGGCACCTACTGCATTTCTCTCTGGAAGATGCCTCGGTTCACATCAGAAAGAATGGCTCAGTTTCCTCCCAAAGTGGAACTGATTTAAAGAAGGAATCACTGGATCCTCCTCTGCTTTGGTCAGTTGTTCCTCTGCTCAGGTGTGCTTCTGTGCTGTTCTAGGTGCTACCCCGTCCCCACAAACACACAAAGAGTTTTTGTCTATACTTACTGCCTGTGCATAGGCGCCATATGCTCCAAACTGGATGGCCATGGGGTTGAACATGCCCATCTGTCCTGCCATTTGCTGCATGCGTCTCATTGTACGCTCCTTGTCTGTATCTGCAAACTTCACCACCAGGCTCGAAGAGGCTCCCTGTAGATCAGGAAACAAAAGGAGAGATACAAGGCATTAGACAGGCATATGTTGATTCATGCAATCTACACACCTGACACAGATTTGCTAGTGCAGGATCCAGCTAGAACTGCTTTTCCTAAACAACTTCTCAGGCTTTTATGCTGGACATTTGCAAGAAGCTGAGAGCATGAGAAAGGAATGAATGGATGCCTCAGGGTGAATGAAGGGGGTCATCAGACTAGTTCTTCGTTTTCTCCAAAAATCAAACTTCCAGAGTGTCATTAACATGCTCTTTGCAAAAGAAGTCACTTCATTCTTTCAATCTACAGAAACCCAATTAGCKGTTATCAAAGGACAAAAGATCTGGTCTAGGTGCACCAATATGTGCATGCCAGATCCTCTGCACCAGGTCACCCTTCCACACAGCAGTGGGAAGTTATCCTCTTATGCTGTTACCCTCAGTAACACGGACCAGACYAGGAAGCAGGATTCAGTATGCTGTGCAAGGCATATGTTTCAACACCAATTAGTTTCTTCACAGTACAGTTAAATTAGGTGAGCAAAAGCAAYACCTCTTGGACTTGAGTTTTATCTTCAAATATAGGAGGAAATAGAAAAGCAACTGCAAAAGTAGCTTCTTTCATAGCTTCCATATTTAATGCTAGTAGGTTCTATATTTAATGCTACAGTTTTTAAGGAAAGTTACACAATGCTGGGGTTCCATCTCTAATCAACACTGGTACAGATCCACAGGTATCACAGCTGGGTGCAGGAGTCTGAAAAATGAAGACCTTTTGGAAATGAAAGAAATCTCTCTCCTCCCCAAGATGAGATGAAAAGTCAGAGACTGCAGTTCTTAACTTTCTGATAGGAGGTGAAGAAGGGAAGAAACAGATCTGCTTAGGAAGACATTGACATTTTTTGGCGGGCTCCAAGGATTTCCCAGCTTCATGGGCTGCTTGCTTCCCTGCAGCATGGCTTCCCCAGGGAATGAGGGGCGYGCGGGAGGGGGATGAGGCAGCAGGGAGATGGTTGCCTGGGGAGCTGGGCTGCTGCTGAGCCTGGGGATGTGGGCAGGGGAGCTGTCAGGAGACTGGCAAAGAGGAGCCGAAATCACCGCATTCCCACGGGACGCTGCCCTTTGGATACGTGGGTACCCGCGGATGAAAAACCAGGCGGCTGGGCAACTGCCAGCTCAGCCTCCAGTGGTGGCAGTGGAGGAACACGGGTTTTGTGCCAGAGGAGCTGGGGTGTCGTGCAGCCCCTGTTTTTCCAGCACAGGTGGGAATTTCTGGGATTGCACAGGGGGAGTGTAATTAACTTGCTTACACACACACCTATGTGCCTGCAATGGGGGAAAAAGAGTCTCAGTGAAAGCAGAGTTGCTCTGCTACGAGTTTGGAATAATGTAGTAAACCACAACAATAGATATAGCCATATATAAGTCCAAGCTATGCATATTCAATAGCTTCTCCAGATCCTCAGTTATGAATAAAGAATTGAGGAATTAACTTGCTTAAAAAAACAATCTAAGGCCACACAAAGAGCAATGTTCCCCTGGATTAGTGGCATGTTCTGGGAGGAAGAGATTTTCATTGCCAAGGAATCTTTCTTTTTGACCTGTTACTCTCTCTCTAATAAATCTATATCCCACTTGAACAATGTGGTGAAGAACAAGGGTTTGAAACAAATGATTTAGAAAAACAAAGGGAGAGAGGGATGGATGCCTCATTCAATGGTGGACAGCAGCCTCCAGAAGTTATTATGAGAGCGAAAGAGAAAGCAGGGGGGATAAAAGGGAAAAATAACAATAAAAAKCAACCAAATTCCTCTGCATTTCTGCTCAAGGCTAGGCAACTTTCCTTTTTTTTTTTCCTTTCTTTTTTTAAATCATCACATGATGTAGTTATTGATCCTTCCCCGAATCACACTCTTAATTGCAGCTCATCGACAAATGAATATTTTAATGCATACATTTCCTGCTAATTATCACCTGGACCAGTCCTTAATTAGATTTCAACACTCATTTAATTAACCCTGATCCAAGAGACTGTTTGGTAACCTGGATGTAATGATTTAAACCTATTTGCAGCTGTACTGGAAGGAGGCACTTGGCCACAGCWGACTAGGTGGCTTAAAGCTGCTGTTGTAGCCTAGAGAGTGCAGTATGGTGGGCAGAATAGAGCCTGGAGGACTGCGAAGCAGAATACACTGAATAAGCACTCATCTCTCCAAGTGAGTTTTGAAGGTGTAACCTGCACTGGTTAGCAGGACAGCGACGTGTAAATAAGTTGCTGTCTTCTTCCTAACCCTTTTCTGTCTCTGCCTATTTGCCCTGGAAGTCTTGGGGTCAGAGATCTGCCTTGGGCACTGGCTGATGCTTTGCATTTTTGAAAAACAAGCTATTACTGTAAATGGCACTATGAAAACATGGGTAGCCTCCATATGAAGTTCCTGCCCTTGGAATGTTCTTCCCTCCTGATGTGAGTCATAGTGACTGCACAGCAGCTGTTTGACCCCATGGAATCTGAGCCTGCCTCTTATGAGATATTTTTCTGGGTTGCCTGTCACAGCAGGACTTTGGGCCTCTTTGAACATCATTTCATATACACAGGGCATAAAGGCCATTGGCAAATCAAAGCAAGTTAGAGCATGCACAATGAAGAAAGAGGAGGAAAAGGAGCTTTTTTGTTTGTTTCTTAAAGAGTGCTTGGGGAAGAGACATATGTGTAAGCAGCCAATATGTAGCCAGTAGAGGTGCTGCACTGGTTGTGAATATGAAGGTTAACTTTGGGGTGGAAATGGTTCCCTGCATCTAGTCCTTTCACGTGGCCTGAAGGAAATTGGGCCATAGAATCTACCAGATCCCTCCATTCAGACGTCTTAGWGGTGGAGCCAAACAATGCTGCTTACCTACATTAACTGTGAGATTACTCCAATGGTTTTCACTAATCTATCAGACAACATTAGAAAGACCATGGAATGGGACAGACGGGATAAAAACCCCTGATGCCTTCATCTAGGCTACTTCTTGCTTTCCTCAAGCAATTAAATCATGGTGTTAATCAGCCTTTGTCTGCTGATAAAGGCAATGGACCTGATCTATTCTGTCATTTATTAGTAATACTCAAGCCCCTCCTTGTTATCACTGGCTGTTGGATTGGACCACATAATTCCCCAACGCCCAAGAATGGTTAAGTCATTTATGGTTGCAATGCATTTGGAGATGTGTGTGTAAATTCTCCATTTTACCAAGTGAAAGACTTATTTATTTCTCTGTCTTGCAGATTCACAGCCAAAAGAGGCTGTTACAAAACTCAACATTGCTACTTGCGCTTTTGCAATAGGCTACTTGGAAACAGCATTTATCTCCTTTCCCATCATATCAACCTCCTTTTTCAAGTACTTTGATATGTTCTGATGAAAAGAATAATATAAAGGCTAAGTATTATTATGCTTTCCCCATTTTCTCTTGGGCCAGCAGGTCTGTTTAATATGACTCTCTTGCTTCCCATCCCTTTCCTGGGAGTGGTAATGAATTGTTCCCCTTAGTCAGCAGAGTTAGATGTTTGCTAGGCTGCCGGGGTGAGGAAAAAGATGGAGGAAAAATCACCCTGTGCCACACTCACTTTGTAATCCCTAATCAGAGTCCTCTGTGGGAAAAACTAATTTCCCAGCCTGTCTTGACATGTGAAATAAAGTCATTCTTGAAAAGGGAGCTTGACAGGTTGCTTGTGAAATTTCATATTCAACTAAAAATAAAATATCCATCCATTGATATTTCATTTAAAGGTAAAGGAAAACAAATCTTTTGCCTGGTTGTCGGGACTGTTTTCCGTTAGATACRGCCTTCTAAATGGACTGTATACACAAATTGGAGCAGCAGCTTTAAAGAAGACCAAATAATACTGCACAGCATCAAGGAAATGTGCTACTGTCTGGAACAATATTCATAGGAAAAGTTTTGAGAAATTGTTTCCATGCTGAATATATGCATGAATTTACTTATTCTGTCAGCCCCATAAGTCACTTCTGACTTTGTAGGTGACCCAGCTTTACGGATGCTTAGACATCCTTCTTGAAGAGTTAGTAAACTTTGCCCTAATTCATCAATGTTCTTAAGCTCATGTTTAAGCTTAATGAATGTCCTATTCAAGGTAGGTATATATTTAAGTTCTTTCTGCAAGGGGAAATATAGGTGGACTTCTAATTGTTGGTCTACTTGAAATGGAGCTAAGCTGCCTAAGATGCCTAAATGAATAGGTCCTACTGGATATTTCCCATTTGGAAATCAAACTATTTGTGTAAGTGTTGCCATGTGAAGAGGGTTGTTCTTGTTTGAAATTGTGGCCATGGCACCTTCTCTGCAAACTGCAAAGCAGAACCAAGCGAGTTGCTGATTTTCAGCAAGTGTGCAGGGCAGTATTTCTAAACAATGATCCTTGATGTTAGGCACTGAAAGTCAAAGGAGGATTTCTTTGTTTTCATCTGTGTCAGACGAGGGCATTTTTGAAAACAGAGCCAGATTTTGTTGGAAAAGTGTGTGTATCTTTCCTGAGGAGAGGGCTGCTGAATTATCCTGTGGGGGCATGACCCCAACTTGGGATTTTAGACAAGTGAAAAAGAAGCTACTATCCAATTAAAACTGTAGAGCAGAGGGAATTTTACCTAGGTAGAAATGTAATTACCCATGCTGGAAGATGGCCAGAAGACCAGGACTAACATCCCTCCCCTCTTGTGAAATATGTTATGTTTTTCTGCACTCAAGGCTTCAATTTCATGTCTCATCTGAAAGATGAGTAGGATGGCAGTCACAAGGAGGGATTTCTACTGCACAGTCCTGAGAGCTGGCTTAGACACACTTGAGACGAGAGTGACAGAGACAGAGCTGTGGAAGGAAGCATTCATCCAAGCTTGGAGTGACAGACCTTTTGGTAACAGTTCTCCCTTGGTAGAGGGGATTCTTCATGCAATGTCTAAGCAGAGAGCGCTGCTGCAGGTACTTCCCTTTGCAGGTC